GGCGTGGGGAGGCCTCCGGGGCGGCGCAGCGAGCATCTCTGCTCAGCCGCCGCAACGTCCCTGCCTTTTCGGGGGCGCGCGTTTGGTTTGCACGGCAGCCGCATGCAGTGCATGAATAAACATTTCTCCAGCCCGCAGGTCCGTTTCTCTCGGTCGCCAGAGAGTTCAGTCTGATTATATGTATTTTCATTTTTTCTTCCAGCTGCTGTAACTTACTCAAAGCCTCGGTTGGCCACGTTTTGGTACTATGCCAAGGTTGAGCTCGCTCCTCCGACTCCAGCTGAGATCCCTAAGGCCATTGATAGCATGCGAGCTATGGTCAGAAGCTTTCAGTCCGGCCGCCTGGCGCAGCTCACAGTCAGGGTAACTGCATGCTAAACTGGAACACGCGTGATAAACTGAAGTGTTGTTCCCCTCCAGCTAGTCTGGTTAACGCGTTTTATAGTTGGCCTGCACGTAACAGCATAAACAGCAGCCTACCTTCTGTAATCCAGAATGCTGCCTGTGTTTGTTGCTCTCCATTTAGACAAGGCTGCTTGCTAGATCCTCATTTGCAAAAATAGGTCAGACATAAGCTCAGAGCTTTCTCCAGTGCTTGTCTTGTTCAGCCAGACATCTGCAGTTTGTGAGGCTTCTTCTCCAGTGCATTCTTGTACAAGTGCTAGCAAAGCTAGAGGCTGATCTTTATGGTGTGCATCTGCAGCTGTCTTTCTGTTACAGGCACTTCTGAATGTAATCGTTGTGCCTATAATTTGATGTTGATGGGGCCCATATGGTGAACAGCGAGGTGTTACACTTGTTTTCTCTTTTCTCCTATCCAGTATTAACAGTGTTGTAAACTGTACTTAACTTCCAGAGTGTTATTTTGTATAAGGTTTAGAATCTATCCTGTAACAATTCTGATCAGGTTTAGTTGCAGGTGAAGAAAGTGATTAACTTCAGACATTGCTTACAAAGATTTTTTTTATGAATAAAGCACTCTATGCAGAGGGGAGCTTTAACTTGTGTGTCTCATGCTGCCCTGGAAGAGTTTCCTCTCTCCAGATGATCTCTGGTTCTGTGCTCACCTTGTTAGTCCTCGCATCCTGTAAGCCTCGAGAGTATGAAAAGAATTTATGTGCTGCTCTTTGCTTGAAGTCTCTAAGCATGTTCTGAGGCTCAATCCCTGTATCTGGATTTCTGCCTAAGAGCTGAGACTGTATTTTTTTCTGATTGAAATTTGATGTTTGGTCCTTCAGAGCTCTATTCGCTTAGGCATATCCACTCCCTCAGCTTGGGAGGGGCTTGGCCATGTAGGTGCTCCTATCTGTCACGTGGTCCTAAAGAGCGAAACTGATTGCACAGGATTTTCAAATGCCATTAATTAGATAGCTTAAGGGAGAGAGGGCACAAGACTGCTAGTTAAAATAAATCTGCCATTGCTCTGGAGAATTCTTGGTGCGCTGGATGAGGTCCTTGGGAACGCTCAAAATTTTTTTGCAAATTGTGGCTTGTTGTTATTCATTGTGACCACTCTTTCTCTACTTCTGGTTAGCTTATTGTCACGCTGCTGGTTTCTGCTGTTAAATCAGGCTCTCAGCTACAAATCTCTACTTGTTTCTTCTCTCTTTATCATCTGCCCATGGATCTTTGCCTTTGTTTCTCCTGAGTCCCTCTGAAGAGGTGTCTTATTGCCTGTTCTGATTTGTTTGAGGCTTTTCCGCTCCCTTTTATCTGCCCCCCTGCAGAGAACCTCGGTCAGACTAGCTTCCTTCCCCAGATAACTTCCTTAGTGTATTCAGTGCACTAAGTAATTTCGTCCGAATAGGTAATTTTTATTGTCTGTTTTGTCTGTGAGGGACCACATGTGGTGGTGGTCCCATATAATGATACTGTGATACTGGTTTTCATAGTTTGGAATTTGCAGCTTGCACAGAGACAGTGCCTGGTGTCACTGCAGGAAT